TCAAAGCCGGTCGAAACTTAGCTAACCTCGAACCCCACCGGAAGATCATCCACGTCACTGCTGCAGGATCTTTGGGAAATTATTAGAAGCCTAATCAAATTACTAAGCTTTTAATATTTTCTATCCATCTTGTACAACCTATAATAGGCCCGACTTGTTTTGCATCCGTAAATAGTTTGTCCAAACAAAGGTGTCTGGAATAAAGGTCGATAAAAGGTTTTTGGGACACGCTCTTTATGGGTAACGAAAAACAGCTCCCTTGGTCGTCGAATGAAGGACTAAAATCCTGCGTAGTGACGTGAACGACTTAACCCTACGGTTGGAATCGATCCATGTCGCTTCCAAAGACAGCCGAGTTATAACGATGTAAGTTACGCTTCTTCTCATGCTCCCTGTCACTCTCCTTTAACTCCTCCGGTTACTTTCTTTTATTTGATGATTGTTTTTTGCCCGGCGCTTGGCCGGCCGGTTACCGCTGGTATTAAAAACATTTTTGGCGAATGGTTAGGTGGCGCAATAGTCTGTAGTGAAGGAGCGCGCTCAGGGGAGCCTGCTCGCGCTGCGCTCCGCAGCAAACAGCTGTTTGCTTTTCACCCAACAACGACAACCGACTCACAAAACGCTTTGTTGTAGCGTTGATAAACGAAACAATTTAACTAAATTGCTAGTCAAAATACCAATACCACAGGACCATTTTTTTAAAGCAATATTTTTAGTGGCCCGAGCGGGCAAAGTACGTTATGCTGGCCCGGGGTGTCTAAATAGTGCTTCCGGGCCAGCGGGCCATTTAATGTCGAGCCCTTCCGGTTACCGGCCGGCCCACATCGTCCGACCGGCCCACTTCAGTACCGGCCCATCGGGATTCGTCCCGAACGTCCCGATGGCCAGTCCGCCCCTGCTACAGGGTATATCTGTAATAATTGTATATATGTCTGTTGCCTGTCTTGCCAATTTAATTTTAAGCAGGTTGCACAAAAATCAAGGGAAGTTGTGGTATTTGCAAATCATTTAATTGTAGATTAGCACCCTCATTAGCATTTGCACATAAAGCATATAGTGCTTGTCATTTATCTGTAGATATAAACAAAATTGGGCTAAATAAACATTAAGAGTTTGACATGCACATTCAAGATTGGGTTACTCTGATTCATCAAACTAAAAGGCACACTGTTAGATTGTTTACAGAAACAACTTAAAATAAATATTTCAAAGTGCACAATTGGAAACCGTTTAAAACTGAAAAACAATAAGGACATTGTTGTGAGGGAGGAAATAAAGTGCTGAAATTATACCATTTGTTTCAATACTGTGTGAAACAAAACAAAAAGACCCCATTCATTTTTTTACTGAGTACAATGTAAAAGTTATGCACTTTCAGAAGTATTCAACAGCTTTCACAGAAACCTCCAGCGGCTCTACCTTTAAAGGACACTGCTGACACCCCACCCAGAAGTAAGGGAAGACCCTCTCAGTGATGGCGTGCTTGAAGGTGTAGATGTTAGTATTGTCTTGCGGGTCGTAGAAGGACACCCTGCCTTTGTCACAGTCCAGTTGCACTCTGATCCTCTGAGGGTTCCTCTTCAAGTTAAGCCTTGTCAGAGGAGAAGTGCCTGCAAAGTACATCTTGTGGTAAAAGTAAACGCACAGGTAGCCATTCTTCAGCACTGAAGACACTTTCTCTTTCCTCTGGACAGACTCTTTAGCCAAGCCGACCACCCACGCCGTGCTGTCCCCCACATTCACATCCCAGGCGTGCTTGCCAGAGGTGAAGCTCTCGCGGCCCAGCACCCCGGTGTCAGGGTCAAACCTCTCCGGGTTGTCGGGCATCTTCTGTTTCTCTTCACTGTCACAGACGCTGCTCAGGTCGTCTGACAGGATGAGCCACGGGGCAGCGGTGTTGGGGTCCAGAGTCACCGGGGCTGAAGGAAACACATTGTCAGCAGAGGTGGGAAGTAGTGAAGTATAAATACTTTGGTATTGTATTTGTCTTGCATCAGTACTTTACTCCACTATTTATTTGTCTGTCAACTTTTTACTTTCACTACTTTCATTTTTAACACAAATATCTGTACTTTCTTCTTCTTACATTTTCAAAACAGGCTTGTTTATTTAGTTTTAATCTGCATTTGGTGGCTTGATCATTATTATTTGGAGTCATTGCGTGCCTATTTCATACAGAAAAAAAGATTGGTGTATGTATGACAATGACAATGAAAGTTGTGTTCTATTAATATAAAGTGAGGTCCATTTACCAGCTTGACTCTATAAAACAGTTGGTAGTTATAGCTGCTGCTTTTTTAAACTTGAGTACATTTCAAAGCCCATACTTCTT